GCGCTGTCGGCCCTTTGGCCGCAGAGTCCCGCCCCTTACCATTTGCTCTTGTTCTTCCTTCTGCTTGCAGTGTCTTATTTCTCTACCTTTTGGCTTTCAGGAGACATGCCTTAAATTTTTTCTAAATTACATAAATAATCGGAGAACATATTTTTGAAAGAAATAATAGGCAATCAAATAAAGTGCAAAGTACCAGCGTCTCTCTCCTAGTGATCCCTACCATGAAGAGTTTGGTGTATATCCTTCTAGATGATTTTGGGCGGGGCGGGCTGGAGGGGTATGTGTGTGTGTGTGTGTGTGTGTGTGTGTGTGTTCAATAGACTTTATACTTTTTTTCACAAATGACGGTCATCAGTGAGCTGTTCCAAATGAGCTTTTTTTGAGGAAGTGAAGGAGGTGGTTAAGAGGGGACACAGGGAGGTGTGTCTGAATGTGTGTATGATGACAGCATATATCAAAAAACCTACAGGAGAACTATAAGAAAAATCTCTGATGGTACTGGACATCTACAAATAGTCAGGTTTGAGTCAGCGGAGATGATCTCTCCACACACAGCTAGAACACAACACAGGCAGCAAACACTGCACTGCATGTGGCTGAACGTTTCTGTCCCAGGATCCAAAAGCAGCATCCTAAAGGCGGAGGTTGCCACTTGAAATTTTAAATCCTTGGTATCTAGTCCAACATCTGGTATGTACTAGGAATTCAATAAATATTTAACACAGAATTAAATATTTATTGAAATAGATTAACTCTGAAAAATTAGATTAAAAGCTGAAATATATTAAATACATGAGTGTATTTTATTTAATAAAAATTATGTTTTTCATCTGTTAGTTGTAAAGTTGGCTTCTAGAAAGGACAATTTCTCTGTAATTTAGTAGTGCACAAATATATCAAGTGTGAAAAAATAAATTATAAAGTTTCTCTTGTCAATTTATGGGTATATAAATGAAAAGCCCTGCCCTCATAACCCTCATATTTTTCCAAAGGTGATAAATAACATATATAATATTAAGCTGTAAAAAGTGTTATGAAAAAAATTAAGGCCGTTGAGAGAGAATTAGGTATCAATGGTGCTATTTTAGGTAGGATGGTCAAGAGGACTTCTATGTCTTTCTCTGTCTTAATGAGCCACAGGAAGTCATGGAGGAAGAGCACTGTAGGTCCCGAGATTTGAGTGTATCTGAGGAACAGCAAGGAGGCCAGAGCAGAGCAAACAGGGGAAAAAATGTGAAGAGATGAGATTCAGGCAGGGTAAGAGGTCAGATGCAGTAAGAAGGAGGGGACTTCAGAATCCATGGTTAGGATCTTAGATTTTATTCTAAAAACCCATGTGAAGGTTTGAGCTGAAGAGGGATAATTCGATGAACACTTTTTAAAAGTTGTTTCTGGCTGGTGTATGAATAAGTGTCTGTAGGGCACAGGAAGAATCAAGGATCATTTAGGGGACTACTGTAATAATCTGGGTAAAAAAAAAATAACAAGACTTGGGCCAGGATAGAAACAGCTGAAAAGGTAAGTTGTCATGTTCTGGTTCTAGTTGAAATGTGGTACTAAAAAGACCTGCTGAAAGATTGGACATTAGAAAATGTTAGGGAAGGTAGAGGAGTCAAGACAGCACCAAGGTTTCAGGCTTTGAGCATTTGTGACAGAGCAGGTTGGTGTAGGGCACAGAGAAAAGAAGGAAATGTCATTTTTCAGCTTACGAAAATAATATGTTCAGTTGGTGAATCTATGCTTTATTCTCAGTAAAATGTTCTGCTTAGAAAAAGGGTGAGGACACAGAGGTGGGTAAGATGGAAGGCTTGTGGAAAAAGGAAAAAGTCTAACACATCCCTTGAGACTATGTCCTACTTGATACCCTAATAAAGGTTTGTCAGACTCTGTCTAATTAAAGTCTGACAGCAGGAATATATAATGGTGAGTTCTATATAAATGAAATGGACAGTGAGTGGCCACGGCTGAAAGTCAAGTTATTGTGAGCAGCTGTATTATTGAACTAACAGGGGTTCATTTTGCCTGTGTTCATCAAAGCCCAACAAGACATGAACAGGAGTTGCGGCAAAGAAAGTAAATGTTTTTTAAAAAAATGGTGCCAAGACCGAAGACACAGTAGAGCTAGCGCTCAAATAACTGGCTCCCAATGGCCTCTAGGAGATAGCTTACATAGGGGAAAACTCATAAGTCATGGCAGCTAAGGTATTTGTGGTTTTGGGCTCAGCTCTACTGATTGGTTGGGGCTAGGGTGGGAGGCAGTTGATCATTGCATCAGGTCCTGATGTCAGTCATGGATCTAGCTTTGAGGGGACATGATCATTGGGGGTGTTCCACCTTCATGGGTCTGGAGCCGAAACACAAATGAGATCAAGATCTTATCTTTAGTTTGACCCAAACTGTTTCTGTGGTCAAGAGGCCTGAGACTTTGTTCCTAAGACTATCTGATGCTGACCTAAGTGCTTAATGATTACAAGAGTGGTTGTGCAGTATGTGAAAAGGTGGAAGGATGAGGAAAAAAAAAGAAGCAAATGAGTCATGATGCTAGTAGACTAGACAAGGCCAGTTTGACTAGAGAATGGGAATAAGCCATTTTAAAGGAGTGAAGTTTTTGCATGGTTACAATTGTATTGGAAGCCCTGAGGTGACTGGAAGCAGAGATCAGGCTGGAGAAGAGCCCAGTGCAAACAGAAGAGAGTAAAAGATCTTTGCAAGACAGGAGGGTAGAGCAACTGGCCATCTTCAAAGTGTCAAGGTCCAGGGTGTGGTCCTGTATCTGACAGTGTCGTGACAAAGCAGTATATGTTATGACAGAATGAGATAGACAGGAGGTTGTTGTGACAGGTCAGCGACGCACAAGATCAAGGTCTATGTCTCTTCACCAGGAATCATGAAATCACTGAAGATACAGGTGAAAAAGGAGAAATGGAAGGCAATGGTGAAGCTGGGGGAATTACACAGAGTAGTCTAGATACAGACACAGAAAGGACTGTGGGAAAGGTGCTAGCTCTGGGGAAAATCACTTGACAGTTGAAAAGGAAAATGTATATTAGAGAAACATTCTTCAAACTAAGAAAAGATCTGTTGTAAAATTTCTACAAATTGTGATATTGGAATTTCACAATTCCAATTCCAATGTGGTGTCATTGCATGTGTGTCATGGCTAGTTAATTCATAACTGACAAAGAAGATATAAAAGTATGTCTTACAGTCTGTCTTAAAGGTAAATTCCTGAAAACAATTTTGAGTACACTACTTTTTAAAACTAATTATCCCGACATTTCCAGTTTCTGGGTCACTGGTTATCAAGACTTAGGATATATGTGTCCAATATATACCAAATATAACCAGATACATCAACATTTGATTAATTTAGGTGAAACTCGCACTTACATATGGAAAATCCCGGAAAGATCTGGAGCTGGAAACGAGGATTCTGCTTGTATTCCATGGGCTTACTATTCGACTGTGGACCAAGTTAAGGTATACTTTAAATCATTTTTGTTTTTTGAAAATTCTCAAAATAAACACATAATTGAAGGAAGATGAAGATATAGTTTTTCTGTGGTCTAATTCTGTGGTAAAATCCTAGGAGAGTAAGCTACTCTGTAATTCACTTTGGTTTCATTTTTTTGGGTTTGTTTGTTTTTAAGGATGCAATTATAACTGTATCAACTCTATGACTGCCAATTATGGATAATACAGAATTAAATATTACTCAATACAGTATTTTATTTCCCTTTTGATATGAAAATACATTAAACTCAAGGAACTGAGATACATGATTTCAGAGCTCTGTTATTACATGATAATGAAAATGCTGACCTCACCAGTCTCGATAAGATTAAATATTTCAAGGCCAACAAAATGCTCAACTACAAATCAGAATGTATACCAAAATTCTTTTATTTATTTGTGTTTTATTTTAAATTTAAGTATAGTTGGTATACAACATTATATTAGTTATTTTAATTTCAGGTGTACAATAGTGATTTGATATTTTTATACCTTATGTCCCAAAATTCTTCTGTGGAATTAAACCTCTAGTCCAAATCTCTCTCCTGAGTTCCAGACTTGTCTATATACCTGAACATCTCCCCCATGTCCCACAGCACTGGAAACTCAGCAACTCTAAAATGGAAATTTAGATCTTCCTCTACCTCCTCCTATATTTCCTGTTATAATAAATAGCACTACAAGCATCAAGTCCGTTCAGTTGTTCAAGCTAGAATCCTGGATATGAAGTACTTAATGCTTTTCCCTAGGTCATCCAAGCAATTCAGCTACCTACATAGAGCTCAGTCTGTTTCTTCTCTCCATCTCCATATATCAGGTCCTTATAATTTGCCTCAACTATTGCAGTGGCTTCACAATCTCCAGGCTCTTCTCCTTCTAAGCCTTCTTTCACTTTACCACCAGAATGACTAATCTAAATTGGAAATATGCCTCCATTCCATGTTTAATTTTTCAATGGCTACATATGACCCACAAGACAAAATCTAATATTCCTGAACATGATGAAACTCAAAGGCCTTTCAAGACCTCATCTTCCACTATTGATGTCCACCCAAACCAAACTTTTTTTAGATTTTAGTCAACCGTGGTCTTCCTCCTCTGTGTTCAGTAGCACAGTACATACCTCCATGGCAACAAGTGGTTCATTTCTTCTATTCCTCTATTTTTCTTACTAGACTGAGCTCCTGGAGGGCAGGGGCTTTGTTTGATTAAGCAATAGATTTTCATTAACTGGCATAGTGCTTGGCTTATAGAATAGGCAAATCAACACTGTTTATTTGGGGTCCTTTTACACTGCTGCTTATTAGCTGAGCCAAATTTGGCCTCTGTAAACATTTCTGTTCCTTCAGTATCACTAACATAACTAACCTACGCCTCATCACTGCTCCAATTTAACAACTTCAAGTGGAAAGTATATTGATTTGACAGTACCAAAATGGGCAAAGTCTACTACCTAAATCAGGCCTGCCTAAATTCCTGAGTTCATGGGCAATAAAGTCCCAGTTCTCTGAAATCCTGACTTATAGCACAAGGATGACTGAAGTTTTTGGTTGTTTTCAGGATCTCTATAGTGGATTAATTGGCCCACTGATCGTTTGTCGAAGACATTATATGAAAGTATTTAATCCCATTAAAAAACTGGAATTTTTCCTTCTGTTTTTCGTTTTTGATGAGAATGAATCTTGGTACTTGGATGAAAACATCAAAACATACTCTGATCATCCTGAGAAAGTAAACAAAGACAATGATGAATTCATAGAAAGCAATAAAATGCATGGTACGGTATATTATTCTACAACCTATTTTTTCCCTTTTATTCTTTCAAATAAAATTAGACTGTTTCTTTTACAGCAAACTGCCTCACTTTGTATGTGAGGTAGAATTCTGTTCTAAGCCAAAAGGGGACTATATTTGAAATCATCTATTAACTTCTCTCCAAATTCCAAAGTCTCATTCCCTTTTAAATAAACTCAAAATTAGGATTAAGGCTTTTGGTGCTAAGTATTTAGAAAAGCAGTGTGACAGTGACCTTAAAGTATCCATTTCCTCCATCTCTAGTGAAAAAAGTTCTATTACCTCAAAAAAAAAAAAAATCCTATTCATGAACCTAATCGTCACATTTTATGTGAAATAGCTGTTGGTTTAAAATATCCTGAAAGATAATATAAAAGCCATGTATTTTCCCCAGCTATTAATGGAAGAATGTTTGGGAACCTACAAGGCCTCATAATGCATGCAGGAGATGAAGTCAACTGGTATCTGATGGGAATGGGCAATGAAATAGACTTGCACTCAGTACATTTCCACGGCCACAGCTTCCAATACAAGGTAAGAACCATCCATGGTCGTTATTCTTGCTCTATTTGAAAATGTTTTAATACAAATGAAGAAAATATTTCCTCAGAGAGACTTATGAAAAGTTGAAAGTTTCAAGAGACAACTAAATTATTTTCTAAGAGTGTGGCACATTGCAATCTCAATTACAATTGCCAACCATTGTTACACCTGGGCTCTTCCTGAGATTTGCAGTTTCTACTGGATTTTCATGGAGTTTTGCTCACATATTCCTGGACATTTGAATGGAACCGTTAGCAGAGAGGGTAGGAATGTTCACATAATGATGAACCAGAGAGTAGGGATAAGACTTTATTATATGCTTTGCCTATTCTAAGTTCTGGATCTTAAACGGTCCAAAGTGAACAAGATCATCAGTTTGGTGTCAAGCGACTGATTGGTCCCTAGATCTCAAACCTACTTCTACTTCTCAGCCAGTGTTAATTTCAGCAAGAGTCATTAGCTCTTTTGGAAATGCTTTTTTTCTTACCTTTGAGTTAATGTAGAAAATTCAAAAGCTACCCAAAAGCACACTGCAGAAAGGCCATTTTATTATCTGTATTTTGGTTTACATAGATGTTCTATTCTTAGTGGGCTTTCAATTCTCTCTCTACAGAAATACCCACCAATTACTTTGTGCTGAGACTCTACCTGAACTGCTCCTAGTTTTGACTTTTCCATCAGTCTCCTTTTCTGCTCCCTCATTACCCTACCTGCCCCCAAAGTTTCAAAGACAAGCTAATCCAGAATAGGTTTAGCAAAAGTAAGATTAGGGCTGAAATGATAAAAAGGCAAGAGTAAAAGGTTAACAGGCAGTCCTGATTGATGGATTAACTCTTAACACACCTTTCCCTCACACTCACCTGGTGGTGGTCCATAGTGCCAAAGGTTTAGCAGGAATACAAGCAGCCCGTATCTCACTGTTTATATTAAACATAGAAATATGCAGGGTCTCATTTTTTAAACAGATTTATCTCATGTTTCTAATATCCCTGAGCTGGCCAATTTAAGATTATTTAAATGAATCCTCACATATAATAAACATTACATAATATTTGTTGTTTTTCTAATTAAGCACAGGGGCATTTATAGTTCCGATGTCTTTGACATTTTCCCCGGGACATACCAAACCCTAGAAATGTTTCCAAGAACACCTGGAATCTGGTTACTCCACTGCCATGTGACTGACCACATTCATGCTGGAATGGAAACTACTTACACGGTTCTACCAAATGAAGGTGAATATCAAGTTAGTGATTCTAGAAGTCTATGTCACAAATATAATTAAGATGTACTACTCTGTCTAAATACTTCCCCCAATATGAAGCATTTGTGAATTTGCTGCCCTTTCTTCCTTCTTCACCTCTTAACAGGATTTTTTTTTTTTTTTTTTTACTGCTAAATGGCGTGGGATACTGCTTTTTCTAATAGTTCTGAAAAAAGCACCAAATATTCCCTAAGCTAGTACAAGTTGACACCAATTTGATGTTAACTTGTACTAAAACTGATTATACTTAAAACTGATATGAGAGCGGTTATTTATGAAGAAACTAACTATGGCTTACAGACACATTTAGAATTTAATTTCTTTTTTAAAACATTAACTTCTCTTCTAGGTAGTGCCTGGTACACAAAAAGCACCCCCTCCCCCAAAATACCCCAAATAATCACTATAATTTCAAATATGCAATCAGGCAGAATGGTGTCTTTCTTTCCCCTGAAGGTCAGTGGGTGGCAGGTATTCTTGATTACTGTTTGTGAAAGATTGTCTTAGTCCATTTGGGCTGCTATAACAAAATACCAGAATAGGTAACTTATAACGGACAGAAATTTGTTTTCACCGTTCTGGAGGCTATTAGTCCAGGATCAGGGTGCCAGCATGGTCCAGTGAGGGCCCTTTCCTGAGCTGCAGACTTCTTATTGTACCCTCATGTGGCAGAAGGGTCAAGCTAGCTCTCTTTTATAAGGGGACAAATCTCATTTCTGAGGGTTCCATCCTCATGACCTATTCACTTCCCAAAGGCCCCACCTCCTAACACCATCATCTTGGACATCAGGTTTTCAACATGTGAATGGAGTGGAGGACACAAACATTCAGACCACAGCAAAGATCCAGAAAAAAAATAGAATCCAAATTTCCTGCTCTGTCCCCAACCCAGTAGTAACACTCCCTCCCATGTAGGCATGAGCATGCACGCATGCGCGTGCGCACACACACACATGCACAATACAGGAAAACAAAGAGCCCCTTTGTGGATAAACACTAATGCAATGTATTGTATGAAGACTGAAATTCCTGCTCTATAGTTGCGGGCTTTGGTCTTTCCTGGGTCTTCTGAGTTCAGAATTGTTGGAATTGGCAATGGCAAACCCAACAGAGGGATATTATGTAGAGAAAACAACGTGTTTTCTCTCCTAAAAATAGGCATAAAAGGGAACATATAAATGGTAAAAAATATAGAATTAAATATATTTCAAAAATTAAAAATCACTGAAAAATCAACCATTAGTAAAAATGTAATGTTTTAATTTCTCCTGGGTTTTACATAAACACCTTGTAACATGAAAAACTACTTCCATTAAAACACTTTATTACAGAGAGTGGTACGGAGAGCACCAGAACACCAAAGACTTGAACAGGCAAATAAACCACTCGGTGTAATGCCAATAACTGATGAACTAGGTAAAGACTTGAAAATGAGAAAGAAAACTTTAAATAGTTTTTAAAGAACATTAGCACACATGCTTACCATACAAAAGGATGGCTCTGCTCAGAAAAATAACCAAAAGCAATGGAACAGTGAGATAGGAAATTAATGTATGCAAATGACTGGCATACATGAATGAGGATCCTGCTACAGGCTAATTCTATACAGACAGACAATAAAAAGATTACTCTAGTATAATGAGCTTGGAAGGAGAAGAGATGACTGCTTGCTTGGTTAAGAAAGGGGCGACTTTTTAAAAAGCTATAGAGAAAATTATAAAATAGCAAATGAGAAGGGAAAAAAGATTAAAGAGAAATTTGGTATTTACAAGAGAAAAGGTATTGTGTGGGACTGAAAGAAGCAGTAATCAATAAAAAAGATAGTTTAAATTATAGAGAAAAATGGGGAGCCACATTTATCAGTCTGAATTGTCTTTAAATAAATGTTTGATAGTTTGAGGCAAGTCTATATTAATTCTGAACCTTAGAAAAATTAGAGGGAAATTTTTCAATATTATGCACCAAGAGACAATATTCTCTACCAAAAAAAAAAAATCATTAGAAAAAATATGGATATCCTGTCATACTCAATGAAATGCTTCATTTCTACTACTAGAAGAAGCATATTAAAGAATTCCTATGACAAATATAAAAGGTGCTTTTTTTATACTGTGACATTTTTACAAGTCAGGTAATCTTTTGGCGCAGTCTATAGAAATAAAGCTTAATTACCTTTAAGTTCCTTATAGTCAGAAACTGTATATTCTGTATTTCTAGTAAGTACCCAAATCCAGTTGGTAAATACCTAATCACATATTAATTCAGTGAAAAGGAATTTTTAAAACTTTTTTATAATGTCAGACAGAAAAATTGCAAGAGCAGTACAAAAAAACATGCAAAAACTCATACCCTTCACACAGATCCCCCAAATGTTAACACACTGCACAGCCAAATTTGCTCTCATTTTTTATATCTCCCTCTCTCTCTGAACACACACACTATATATTGTAAATATACATACTTATATTTCTTAAAAATAAGAAGTCTTATATATAAACACAGCATACCTATCAAAATCAGAAAAATAAAAATGCTTCGATACTATAAATCCTTTTTAAATTTCATCAATTATTCTAATCATGTCCTTCATAGAAAAAAAATCCCGCTCAGGCATTGTATCCAGCTGGAATGTCTTCTTAGTCACCTTTAGTCTGGAATAGTTCCTCAGTCTTTGTCTCTCACAACTTTGATATTTTTAAAGATTATAGGGCAGTCACTTTGTGGAATGTCCTTCAGTTTGGGTTTGCCTAATGTTTCCTCTTGATTAGATTCAGGTTATGAATTTTTTGGCAAGACTTACAGGAGTGATATTGTTTTTCTCGGTATACATGTCAAGAGGCACAAGATGCCGATTTGTTCCCTTTCTGGTCACGTTAACTTTGAGCATCTGATTAAAGAGATGTCTGCCAGATTTCTCCACTGCAGAGTTAGCTATTTTTCCCTTATAATTTATAAAGATATTGTGGAGAGGAAAGTAACTTTTCTTTAAATAAAGCAGTACTTGAATGAGAGATGTTTTTAAACATACAAAAAACAGAAACATATAAATGAATCAAGAATTAAAATAAGATTTTAAAAATTAGAATACATTTAAAGCATCATTTATGTATTTTTTAAAATCATATGATATATAGCATTTTTAATAATGATCTTAAAATTTCTTTTTCTATAGAGACCAAGTCTGGCTGAAAGAAATAAATTGGTGATAAGTGAAAAAAAAGATTCGTAACAATGTATGTGAAAGTGTTGACTAGAATGTTTACTTTGGAATGGCTATAAGCATTACAAAAAAGATTAAAAACATACACTTCTGTGCATTTGTGGGAAAACTGTATTACATTGTTTCATATGAAAAGATCAATGGACTGTATTATGACATGTGACTGACTCTAATATACTAGGTAACAGAATTGGTTCATATAGACCATTCATATCACCACCATTGGGCCTTTACAAAACTGCATTTAAAAAAAAAAATCTATGATGAGATGTTGTCCTGGATGGTTCTCAAAAGATCTCTATTGATTCATTGAAATGTTTCTAACCATCGGCTTCCCCATCAATCCCTCTAACATGCTGCTAACATCATTTCCAATGAACCAGTGGACTTAGGGGAACAGGGGTATGATAAGTAAAATTAAAAAATAAAATATAATAAAATAAAGTAATAAATAAATAAATGAAAATTAAATTTAAAAATAAAATAAA